CCCCGAGGGGGACCACCGGCGGGTTCCCCCCCGATACAGCCTCTGCTAGGGAGCCATGAAATGGGGGCTGGGGGGTAACACCACAGGCTCAGGAAGGAAGCATTTGTCCCCAAAGCAAGGGAAGTAGAGAGATGACAGAGCTGCCTATCCTACAGCCAGCACGGTGCACTGCTGGCCCACCGCCACCAGCTGCCACCAGACGGGTGGCCTGCCAGAGTCCAGCAGGCCAGAGCTGAGCACAGCCCAGGGAAGGGCTCCTGGGCTAAGCCTTAGAGGGCAGAGGAAGCAGTGGTGTGGTGTCTCAGACGCTGCCTTGAAAGTGACCTGCCCTGTGAGGCGCCGAACTGAACAGTGAAGAGAAAGATTCGGACTTCCCCACCCACCACCGTCCTGCGCTCACACCATCTAGAAGCAGTATGTACACATGCACACACCGCACGCATACGCGTGTACATCACACACGCACATGGCCAGAGACAAACACGCGAACATGTGCCCCATACAAGCATGTGCTCAAATAAACACGCACACGCCTGTACACACAGTATACACATACCGCAGTATGCAGATACCTCACATGGATGCAACCAAGCCCGACACCCTCAAGAGGAAGCAGCTGTGATTTTTTTTTTTTTCTTTTTTTGGAGAGGTTTTTGCTATAGGGCGCGTGCACTCGCCAGACAGACAGAGAGAGACAGAGAGACAGAAAGCGAGAAGTCACCCCCTAGTGGGGATGGCCATGTCGCAATCCCTTCTCCTCCATTCTCCTCTCGGGATCTTGGGCATGCATGCACACACACCCGGGGTGAGTTTAAGCCACCGGGTCTGGGACTTGAACCGCGGTTGACTACATGGGAGTCCAGCGACATAGCCATTATGCCAACTGCTGGTCCCACCTGGCATGAGTTTTAAGCCACCGGGTCCAGGACTCGAACTGCGGTCAACTACGTGGGAGTCCAGCGACATAGCCTTTATGCTAACTGCTGGTCCCAGCAGCTGTGACTCTTGAACTGGGAACAACGACATGAAGACACTGGATGGCAGGTGTCCCGCCCAGGGAAGGCCAAGGGCCCAGGCGCACAAAATTGTCTGGCCTGAGGGCCATGTGTGGCCCCATGGAGCACCGAGGGACTTACCCGCCGTTGAGGGTGGGCGTCAGGCCGAAGAGTGTGCAGAGCCCCACGGACATGAGCAGTGAGCTGAGCACTGTGACCACGGCGGCCAGGGCCAGCCCCCACTTGGACTTGACCATGTCAATCTTGCCTGCAGGGCGGGGAGGGTGGTCAGGCCAGCACCCGGGCCCACACAGGGCTGTGCCCACTGACTGGGGGACTGGGTGTGCCCTGACCGTCCAGGAGGGGGCGCTCCTGGCTAAACCGAAAGACAGATGGCCACACACGTTTCCTGGTCTCGTGCCTGTGGTGCGCCTCTTAGGGACCCTAACGCAGGAGGGTCTGATCTCAGAGTCAGAGGAGCCCCGCACCCACCCAGGCCCGAGGCTGTGGGGGAGGCATGCCCAGCTCCCCCCAGGCCTGCTCAGAGGCAGGACGCAGGCAACGGAGATGCCTGTGGACTTGGAGAACACCCTGGCCCACGGTGCCTGCGTGACGTACGGGTGGAGAAGTAGATGTAGGCGAACAGGATGATGTAGGTGGTGACGAGGGGGATGAGCTCGGCGACACCGATCTCCTCCTTGAAGTGCACGTGCACCAGGCTTTCCGCCCGCAGGCTGCAGTTAGGGCTGGGGTGCAGGAGCGTCAGGCGGGTGCGCAGGCTGCCCAGGAACCTGGCAATGGGTGGGTGGGTAGCTGTGGGGTCCCCCTCAGGGTAGGGCACAAGGATGTCAAGAGGAAGCAGCTGTGATTTTTTTTTTTTCTTTTTTTGGAGCGGGTTTTGCTCTAGGGCCCGTGCACTCGCCAGACAGACAGAGAGAGACAGAGAGACAGAAAGCGAGAAGTCACCCCCTAGTGGGGATGGCCATGTCGCAATCCCTTCTCCTCCATTCTCCTCTCGGGATCTTGGGCATGCATGCACACACACCCGGGGTGAGTTTAAGCCACCGGGTCTGGGACTTGAACCGCGGTTGACTACATGGGAGTCCAGCGACATAGCCATTATGCCAACTGCTGGTCCCACCTGGCATGAGTTTTAAGCCACCGGGTCCAGGACTCGAACTGCGGTCAACTACGTGGGAGTCCAGCGACATAGCCTTTATGCTAACTGCTGGTCCCAGCAGCTGTGACTCTTGAACTGGGAACAACGACATGAAGACACTGGATGGCAGGTGTCCCGCCCAGGGAAGGCCAAGGGCCCAGGCGCACAAAATTGTCTGGCCTGAGGGCCATGTGTGGCCCCATGGAGCACCGAGGGACTTACCCGCCGTTGAGGGTGGGCGTCAGGCCGAAGAGTGTGCAGAGCCCCACGGACATGAGCAGTGAGCTGAGCACTGTGACCACGGCGGCCAGGGCCAGCCCCCACTTGGACTTGACCATGTCAATCTTGCCTGCAGGGCGGGGAGGGTGGTCAGGCCAGCACCCGGGCCCACACAGGGCTGTGCCCACTGACTGGGGGACTGGGTGTGCCCTGACCGTCCAGGAGGGGGCGCTCCTGGCTAAACCGAAAGACAGATGGCCACACACGTTTCCTGGTCTCGTGCCTGTGGTGCGCCTCTTAGGGACCCTAACGCAGGAGGGTCTGATCTCAGAGTCAGAGGAGCCCCGCACCCACCCAGGCCCGAGGCTGTGGGGGAGGCATGCCCAGCTCCCCCCAGGCCTGCTCAGAGGCAGGACGCAGGCAACGGAGATGCCTGTGGACTTGGAGAACACCCTGGCCCACGGTGCCTGCGTGACGTACGGGTGGAGAAGTAGATGTAGGCGAACAGGATGATGTAGGTGGTGACGAGGGGGATGAGCTCGGCGACACCGATCTCCTCCTTGAAGTGCACGTGCACCAGGCTTTCCGCCCGCAGGCTGCAGTTAGGGCTGGGGTGCAGGAGCGTCAGGCGGGTGCGCAGGCTGCCCAGGAACCTGGCAATGGGTGGGTGGGTAGCTGTGGGGTCCCCCTCAGGGTAGGGCACAAGGATGATTCCTGGGAGGAGGGTCTGTCAGACCCTCTCCCTGTCCCCAGTCCATGGTTTCTAAACTTGTCCTCCACAGCGTCCGCGGGGCCGAGCTGCACCCAGCCCCTTTCCCACCCTGTGACCCCACTCTCACTGCCGAGGGCCGGGAGGGCACGGGAGGGCGCGGGAGGGCGCGGGAGTGCCCATACCCATGTGGGAGCACACCCATGCCCACTGGGGAGGACTCGCGGGCTCAGCAGTCATCAGCAGGGGACGGCCGCCTGAGGCTGGAGAGAGCCCGAGGAGGCGCCAGGGCCTGGAGTGCCAGCTCCGCCTGGGCCCCGACTCTCAGCCAGCTGGCGGGTCCCCCCACTTCTAAGGGACGGCACCCTTCGTCACAGGCATTCACCAGGCCTGAGAGCTCTCAGACCCAGAATGGCTGACTCAGCTTCGGCGTCTGCAGCTCGGCCAGGAGCCCACGGGCCTCACCTGGCGTGGTAGCGCCGGAAGACCAGCGTGATGGTGTATGAGACGGTCCTCTTCCTGCTGTAGAGGCTCACCCCGCTGTACCGCCCGGGCACGCCGAACAGCAAGTCTGCGGGGGAAACCAGCGGGCACTGACGGGGCAACAGCAAGTGCTGCAGAGACACCGCTGGCCTTGGAAGGAGGGGTACCCCGATCTGCCAGAACACCCATCGAAGAAGAGATGGCGACCAGCAGGCACCCTGGCCCTCGGGGCACCCGGGCAGGCACCTTTGAGCGTGGCTGACGTCTGCAGGGTTTTGGGCTCGTGCTGGTGGATGGTCCCGATGATGTCGGGGTCGGCATGGAAGCGCTCCCGGTCATTCTGCCAGAAGTTCCCGGGGGACAGCAGCAGGCACCCGTGCTCGGGCAGGAGGTTCCGGAGCTTCCTGAGACCTGGCAGCAGGTCGCTCACCTGCAGGCACACCTCCTCCAGGCTCCTGGGGCCAGAGCTGTGGGGAACAGGTAAGACCCCGCTGAGTGCCGGCACAGGGCAGGCCCTGCGCCCCTGCAGGGGACCCCGTCTTCCTCTCCATCGAGGCCCCGTATCTGCCCCCAGCACTTCACCACTGCTGAGGGCAGCAGAGAAAACAATAGTTGCAGGAAACAGACAACCGAGCAGCTGTCTTCAGAGGGCCCTAAAGCCCATGAGCTCTGAGGAGAGGCAAGGGGGGACATGGCACATGCAGAGGCTCCACCACGCCGGCCAGGTCAGCAGCACACGAGAACGGGCCACGGTGAGGTGCTGTGTGTAGTAACCGAAACGCTCGTCCAAGCTGGTGTGTGATGAACCCAGTGGTGAGGAGGGCCCCAGAGCCAGCATGCCCAGGGACCACAGGGTGCAGGGGCAGTAGCTGCACCCAGGCCGAGCCGGTCGCAGCCACCTCCGCCTGCCCACATCCCAGAAGCTGTGGCTGGGGCCTCGGCTCCTCGGGGCCCTCCCGGCCGGCACTGACCTCCTAAGACACGAGTGTAGGGCTCTACCGTGCCGTCGGTGAAGGGCACCCACGGGGGCCAGAATCGCAGCCAGCTCACCCCCTCCTTGCCTCCACTGGAGCTACACCGAGGACGGTCACTGTCCCTCAGGGCGAACCACGATCCGAGTACCTGTCTCTGAGCACGTGGTTCCGGATCTCCTCCACCAGCTGGAATGCCCGGGACAGAGGTGAGCGGAACACGTCCACTGCCAGGAGGTTCTTGTGCCAGGGGGACACGGAGGACTTCACGAATATCTGCTGGATGTAGGCCACCGGGGCCCCCACATACTGCGAGTGATGGAGGGACAGCAGGGTCAGTGAAGCAGTGGGGGAGGCGGGGTCCAGCTCCGTGAGGGCTGAAGAGTGCCCACCAACAGCAAAGCAGCTCGGGACCAGATGTGAGCATGAGGGCCGCAGTAGGCCAGCACCCGTTCCCCAGGCAAGGCCTTTGAGAGCACAGCCTCGCCCATTCCACGCACCACGGCTGTGTCTACACTCCACCAGAGCCGGGTTGGGTGGCCTCGAGGCCTACATGGCTACCACCCTGCCCTTCACAGGGCACAGCTGGGACCACGCCCTGACCACACTCCCCGAAGGGGTGGGCAGCCTGCTGACTAACCAGGTTGTACCCCGTGGCACGATGGGGGCTTGCAGTTTCCTCCCCGTGCAGGAGCGATCACATCACCAGCACGCGGGCGGCACCAGGGCAGCACGCACAGCAGCCACACTAGATGCATGCACACGGATGTCGACAGGTGTGCAGAGGCCAGCAACAACAGGCAATGCATGGTTCCACCTGCCCCCTAACGGCCTGTGGGCAGCAGCAGCGGCAAGGGTGCTACCGGCCCAGGCTCTCAGCAGAACGGGCCGCACGGGACTCAAACCCAGGTCTCCTCGCCGAACATCACACACTCTTCAGAACCCACCGTCTACCCTTAAAGGGCCTGTGACAGGCACGGACCCTCTGGCGCCAGGGCCTCGCACGCGATCCTCTGAGCCAGGAGTGCAGGTGCAGGAGGCCTGGAGCTCTCGAGTGCGGACCCCACCTGAGCTAAAGCCCCGGGCTTAGTCCAGGCAAGCTTCCCCGGCTGTGAAAGGGCTCAGATCAGCGCCTTTGATAGATCAGAGTGCGCCGCACACACTGGGCCGTGCCGGGACTCATGGCAGGGCACTCTGGGGTGCTAGCTGCTCACGGCCACAGGAGGTCATGAGAGGCCAGGGTGCTGCTTGTCACATGCACAGGGTGTGTGAGCCCAGGGGATGGGACTTCTGCGTGTTCCCTTCCAACAAAGGCGACTCATGAACTGTACAGAACACGGCAGGGCCCGCGAGGCTGCTCGGCCGGCAGACATCAACAGAGGCTGACCGCCCTCACGCCTGCTCCCAGACCCTGCCTCGGCCGAGCCCAACACCCTGTTCTCCCGGCATGGCCCAAGCACCTACCCACTCCGGCTGCCCGGTCAGCTCTCCGTGCTGGGGGTCCGGGTCCGCAGGTGGGGGTGAGTAATCCTTCACAGGAGTGGAGAATTCCACGGGTCCCGTTCCTGGCAAGGGGAGCTTCAGCAGCGGGTAGCTGGGATGAAGAGAGAGGGGTGAGGCCATCCGGAGAAAGAGGAGGAGTCTGCTCTGAGGTGGCAGGACATGGACACCACAGGGACAGCCCTACTCTGCACACATGCATTTGGTATTAGAACCATAAATGTTGGGGCCAGCAGATGGGGTGGTAGTTAAGAGCGCCGGACTTTCACGTGGCTCACCGCGGTTCGAGCCCCGGACCTGGTGGCTTGCTTTTACATACCCCCCGCCACTCTGTCCCTCTCTGGTCAAATTTAAATACATAAATAAATAAAAGATAATTCTTTTTTTTTTTTTTTGGAGAGGTTTTTGCATGTGCACTTGCCAGAAAGATAGAGAAAGACAAACAAAAAGAAAGAAGCCACCCCTCCCCCCCTCCGGGAGATGGCCATGCCACAATTCCTTCTCTCCATTTTCCTCTTGGGATTTTAGACAAAGAGGGATTTTAAGCCTCTGGGTCCGGGACTCAAACCACGGTCGACTACATGAGAGACCAGTGACATAGCCATTACGCCAACTGCTGGTCCCTAGATAAAATAATTCTTAAGAAAATACAAAATAGTGACCAGCAGTTAGCGTAATGGCTATGTCGCTGGACTCCCACGTAGTCGACGTGGTTCGAGTCCCGGACCAGGTGGCTTAAACTCATGCCGGGCGCGTGTGCGTGCGTGCCCAAGATCCCGAGAGGAGAATGGAGGAGAAGGGATTGCGGCGTGGCCATCCCCCCTGGGGGGTGATTTTTCGCTTTCTATCTCTCTGCCTCTCTCTGTCTTTCTGGCAAGTGCACGCGCCCTATAGCAAAAAAAAACTAAAAAAAAAAAAAAACCCTATAAAATGTCACAGCTAGAATAAGACTCACAATCTAGATCCAGAACTTCTCAAACTTATTTAGTTGCTTATAGCTTCCCAGGAAGCCTAATGGGTAACATAGCTGGGTTAGGTGGCTTCAGAAAATTAAAGGCAAGATGCTAAAAACGAAACAAACGTAAAAAAATGTGTCAAGTTAGACAGACGTAAGATAATGAACAAACTGGGAGAAAAATACAAAACCCCACACGGGCTCTGATTCAGGTGGCTAAGAAACTGCCCCACTTGAAGGGGCAGACCAAGAAAATTGCACAGCCTGCAGACGGTGTGGTTTCAAGAGCCCACCACATGCAGAGGAAGAACCGCGGCCTTGCGCCAACAAGCCAGTACACGGATGCACACTGTTCAGCTTCTCGTGTCCTTGTGCCGGACCACACTGTGTGCGTGCCAGAGAAAGAGGAGGCATGGCCGATGGGGCATGGCCACACCACGGCCCCTTCTCCTCTCCTCCGTCTCTCCACCTTGTCAGGACAGGGCACGCACTAGCGGAAACCTGCTGTGCTCTTTGAGTGCTGGGGCAGGACCTGAACCGCAGGGGGTGCCACGTGGGACCTGGTTCCATGAGTCTGCCGGCCACAGCCGCAGAGCCAGCCTGGGTCCCGCACACACGTGGATCTTTTCCACCACGCACACTCCTGTGAACCACGGCCCAGCTCAAGCTGAGACACGCGTCCAGATCCTCAGAAGACGGCCGGTGCCTGCGCTAGTCAACAGCGCCCCACACAGGTCACCACTGTTAGGGCTCCTGCGCTGAAACACTTTCGCTTATTCGTCAACATCACATAAACGAGGTCATCCATTCTACTTCACGCCCTTCGAGAGTGGCTTTCGCTCCAGTTATGTCCACACTGGTGCGCGCCGCAGACCAGCCTGCCCGCCGCGTTCGGCTCCACTGACCGGCTACAGCACTGTCCGTGTCTGTCCCACCGTCACAGACATGTGGCTGTGACATGTTGCAGCGACTGAGACCGAGGCTATTGGGCCAGCCTCGTAGCGCAGCAGTAAGCCCTGTGCACAGGGGTGAGGTCCCACGTGGCCTCGTGGTTCGGCCCCCAGCCACAGAGGCTGCGCGGTAACCAGGGGTGGGGTCAGCTCCTGTTCTGCCCCAGAACATCTGCGCTTCGGAGTCTGCCCGTGCTTAGGCTGTGGAGGCAGCCGGCAGGAAGAGGGTGAGGAATGGTGACAGAGATGCCCACGGTGCCTGCCACATGCCAGCACCACCCTCTGCTGTCACACAAGACAGCCGGTTTTCAACACCTTCACCTCTGCCCCGGGGTGCTGGGATCCCCACTCCTAGACCAGGCACTGCGTGACAGAGTCACTGACCGAGCCAGGATTTCACGCAAGTGCTCAAACGGCCCTTGACATTGCACCTCGACTCACAGCACGAGAGCACCTGCAGGAAGACGGGGAGTCACGGAGGGCTTGCACCCTATAACCTGGCGGGGGCCGCAAACGCCAAAATGAAACCCACCGGTGGGGGACCTAAGCACTATTTGCTGCTGCTGTCTGCTTCTTTGATCCTGCTCTCTTCTGTCTTGTCCTGGAGATGGGGCTACCACTAACTGAGCACCAGTGGCCCTGCTCGTTTTTCCTCATTCAATAAATATTTGAGCATCAGGTCAAGGCCGGACATTATGCAAGGCTCAGAGGTGAGCAGGGGACCGAGGGACAAGACCCTGCTCTCGCAAGACTCACATCCTGGCTGGGGGTGGGCCAGGGTAGGCCAGGCGGAAGGTACACGGGGCAGGGGGGCAGGGTGCGGGTCGGCAAGGAGGGAGGGAGCGGATGAGGCAGGTACACAGGGCAGGGTGCGGGTCGGCCAGGAGGGGGGGAGCGGATGAGGGCGGGACAACCGGCCGGGGGGGGGGGGG